CTGTCCCCAAGCGCGCCTTAAGACGCGCTAGACACGCATGTTTTCATCTCAAATCCTAATCAAGGCACTGCAAATTTATTGTCGCATGCATTCCAGCCTGCTGCAAGTAAACCTGTGTTAGCATTTGCATCCGGACCGGTACCTCACACCAGGAAAGCTTACATCCCGCACCTAAACGGTTTGTGCAATTGTGCCACCATACACTCGCCACCCGCTATTCCGCCCTTTCCACTTGAAGCAAGTGGCGGTACATGTCTGCGATGTGGGTCAGGTGAGGTCAGGAAATCCTGCAGGACCTGTGGTTTGAGTAAGGTAAGATATGCGTTTCGACAATGGAAAGGCTGGAAAGGTCGGTATTGGTGCAGTTTAATCCCACTGTTATCAATGGCAACGATGTCTCGTATATATACGCCAAACAAATAGCTTGCTCTCAGTACCTCGTTTATATTCTGGAAACATGAAAAGCTGCACAACCCTCGACGACGACACGGTCTGCGACTACTTTCTCATGGAGGAGGACGGCAGGATTCAGCGAAGTGTGCTGACCGACGTTGATGCGCTGCGGAAGATGCGCGTGCTGAAGGATTCCGGAAACAACGGTGCAACGTGAGGTGACAAACCAATGAGATCGGACGTCGTGTCGGCAAGTTTGGAACCTGCTGAGTCATCGACAGTTCTGATCGACTGCAGTCCTGTTCGATTGCATAACTAGACCTGCAGGTGCTTTTGAATGCCCCACTATAAAGCCGCGTTTCCTTCTTCGCTCGTTGTTCTTCGCGTGTTGTTGATTAGTAGTGACATGCGTTTAATACGAGCACCATGACTGACTATAAAATGGATGGCCGAACGAAGGTATAGACAGACGGCCTCGTCGCGGCCATCAAGAACCGGAAAATTATTTCAACTGAGGACTCGAGCTTTAGCGCTTTAAGAGCGAATTTGGCTCGATCCCGCTGCCGCCTAAGTTGTGTTGTGTTGTAAGTTTCCAGTGTTGTTTTAAACTTTCAGGTAAAATCGTGTTCTCATCACCCATTCAGTCTCGTTGTAGTAAAACTCGCTGTACGCTACGACGCATGAACCGGCCTTCGTTCTCGGTGCTTAACTGCTTACCTAGATAGCTATCCACTTCTACCTACAGCACACGTTTTAAGTGCAGTACCATCGAAAACTTCACTCACATCCCGTCAAGAAGGGCTTCGTTTTCTCGTTTAATGAAACATATTGTTTTGGGGCTTAGGCAACGCGCAAACACAAAATGGACGTACTATTTCATCCTCGCAACAACGACGATGACGCCCCCAAGAAACGGATCTTTGGACAAGAGAACTATCGACACCTAAGAATCGAAATAAATCATTTCCAACGGCCTTTATTCCATTTATCCGGCGTCCAGCGGGCACGTTGTGACAGTCCGCGACAATCAGGTACATAATTTCTTCTTTGTCGCGCCAACTCCATGCCAAAATTTTAAAGGCATGTCGAGAGTGCCAAGAAGTAAATTCGATACCACAACAGAAAACATGTTTTAACCTGTCTAGTGTACGGCCGGCCCAAGTGCTGTCCTCGCCACGATCAACCCCGACCAGCTGCAGCTGCCAACAGCGCCCCCCTGACAGGCGAACTGAACTTTAATGAACCCCCTCCTCCTCCTCCTCCTGCCCGCGCCACGGCCAAGCTCCAAGAAAACCATTGAATCACATTACCTGTAGGCGTCCAGCAGCTCTTAACTCTTATTCTATTGCCGAAGTCCCAAAGTTCCTAACGACGCAAGACCAGCCCTGCTAGTATATATTCGCACCCTTGACCGTCTCGTCGCCGTAGATGAGCAAATCGTCCGATAAGACAGAACAGCTTCTGAGCAGCAAGGCAAGTGATAGGAAAGATGGACCTTTTGCCGTAGTCGGAATGGGGACTACCGCCACCAATATCAGCATCGGCTGTTACAGCATGTTTCAGCAGCCTCCGCAGCCTCCGCAGTTGCAGCAGCGCCGGAAGATATCCCCACCTACCCACTGACAAAAGAACGGCCAAAGTGTCACAACCCAACACAGCCCTTCTTCGGTTCCTACACACAATCGCCAGCAGCCACTCTCTGACCAACCCGCCACAAAATCATATCATTTTTCACGCGCCTGGCAGCAGGGGCCGCCGGTTTCGAGGGGCGGCTGGGGGGAAGGGAGACGAATCACCGCAGACGAGCGACGCTAATGTGAGGAATGGGGGCCAACTGCACGTCCCTCCGAGTTTGATTCCAAGCTAGTGGATACGCCGAGATATACGTAAACGTATGTGTTTGCGCGTCTGAGCAGCCCCTTTTCTTCCCCCTCATGCCGGCGTGTCCGCGGTATCAGGGGCTCCAGACCTAATGAGCCTCTTCCTGAAAGGAAAGAAAAGGAAACCCGTGAGAGAGGGCAAATGACGCGGGGCGCCAAGGAGCCCGAACCGAGTCCGCCTCAAAAAAAGGTAGAGAGCACAGGTCCTGTACAGATCCTCACACCTACATCTAAACGACAGAGACGACGATGACCACCTTTACTACGACAGCAACAACCAAACAACAAACAATAACAGCGATTACACAAAGGAGAAGCCCGACGGACGATACCCCGACGAGCGCACAAACGCTGCTCTTTCCTCAACACCTCCAAACGACAAAGAAGAATCGTTGCAAGTCGAAAGATCGTGACACCAAAGTAGTCATGACGCGGTTTCATTGCCTGTTGTTTCTTTGCCTTTTTTCTCAAACAGCTCCACACTTAAAAAACCCAATCTTCATGCCCGTGCCGCCCTTCCTTCCGAGACCGAAGCCTTTTTTTCTTCTCCTCGTCCGCCGTTGCTTCTCCTTTCCTTTCCCGCACCAACCACGGCCGTATCCTTCCCAAGGTCTTGACGTGTCCCCAAGTCCTCGTCGACGAATCCCAAGGCCTTTTCCAGCCTTTTCCCCCTCCCTGGGCGCCCCACCCCTCAAAACGCAAGAGGAAGGACGTCATGACTCTCTCGCGTAAGAAGCGAGGTGAAAGAAGCAAGATGCCAGTTTTGCGTACGGACAGACAGACAGACAGACGGCCGCCGCCGCCTCTTCCTCCTCCTCCCTCCTCTCTCGGCCGGGAAGGGAAAGCGGCCGAAATAGTTTCTTTCCCCCTTCCCTCACTCACGCATTCATTCACTCGGGGGGAGACTGGGGAAGGAAACCAGGGCCGTACGTACGGCCACAACGGGCGACGGCTAGTGTACAGAAAATCGTACATACATACATACATGAGGTCAGCGCCGCCTTAGTCGGAGCAGAGCAGAGGATGAAAACGCCACTACCGGAAAACGCCACTACCCGTTATCCCTCGGTCTCATACATAGATACATACATACAGCCAAATAGCGTCTGCGGAGAAGAAGCACTTTGCAAAAGGCCTATCATGCAAGCAGACAGACAGGCAATCATACAGCCTGGTAAAATCGCCCTTACGTACGGCAACGTACGGCACGTCCTTCGATATGCCTCGCATAAAACAAACATGGGCGCGCACGCGGTTGTGGTGCACAACGAGAGGGCGAGGGGCATTTTTTCCGTACATACGCGCTCTCGTGCGCGGTGGATGTGCAAAGGAGGGGGAGAAGCGGCGACGCGCGGCGAGCCACCCCCCTAGGCAGGCTAGGCCAGGATCCCTGAAGGTGGGCGGTGGGATCGTCGGTACGTAACCCATATGCAAATCTTTGCACGCACGACGAGTAAACCCAAAGAAACAATCTCCCCTCCCCCCCACACACATCCGCACACGCCCATGCCGACACATCGACACACACACACACACACACAGAATCGGGCGAGAGACCGAGCTTTCTAATAGGGCCTTGTGCCTTAGCAGGCCAGCGCGCAAACTCGCGTGACGGAGCCTCTTGACTCGTGAGAGCGCGCACGCGT